GGATGAACAAGCAAATTCCGAAAACATTTTTTATTGTCCTTTCATTGCTACTAAACACCTGCGGTTGTTCTACTTTTTCTAGTGAGTACATGGTCTTCTAGATGCCATGCTTTGTCTTGCTTCTGATACATTTTTTACGTCATAGAAAACTGGGGGTCTTCTTTTTTCCCACTGCATCTACGACGAAAAAGAGACAGTGCAAGCATTTTGACTATAACGTAAATATCTCCCCCTAACTGTTCAGTTCTGCCATGTCAGTTCTAACGATATCCTCTTGTCGATTCTCTGCCATCAGGCTTTGATTTCAGTACTAACTGTGTAAGGTGGCTGTCATCCATTTGTTGGCAATGATCCGACCATTTTAAACTCCTTGTTTGCAGTCAGTCGGTCACTTTTGTCCGATATTCTGATCTCTTTCTTACAACAGCATTTGACCAAATACTGATAAATGCATAACGGTTTATTTATATTCAACGCAAAAGAATAAGTCGATCAATCAGGTGATTAGTTGGGTATTTCTCATCTTTCAATTTTCAATATGAACACCAACTAATCAACAGCGTTTGACACCAGACTGTATCAATTCACTCCTAACATTGATCTTTAATTCGTCATTTCCGTCGTTTCCGGCTTTCTGTTTTCAGCTGTCGTAAGTGCTGCCGTCTCCAAGCCATAGAGAAGGATGATCAGAATACAAATCCTGTATATCTGCAGCTTGGTGCTGTTGCCAACATCTCTCATTTCCCAGAGCTCGAATACCTTATCATTCATTGCTAATGTCTACCCACAACCGTCTAAACTTAATATATAATTTGTCTGCCCACAGCGATGTATTCCCAAGACACAGTTGCCCTGTGCCTTTCCACAACTTAGGGCAATGGCTCCCTTAGTCTGGGTTCTATCAGTTTGCATTCACGTCGTCTTCCTTGATTTAACCGAGAGACCCATATCAGAATACTTCTTTCTCAGACTTTGGAAAAGAGAAGTACCCATCTTTATTAGGCGCCAATGGACTTTCAACCAGTTCACAAAAATTTGCAAAACACTGTACCTCTTTAATAGATGCCGAACTGAAGAGTGCTTGTATCAGTTGAGTCAGACTCTGCACTAACTGAGTATTCAACCATAAACTATGAAGATCACTTCTATAGACATCCGTTAACCAGATTTGTTGAGACCACATTTTTTACATTGATTTTGAAATGTGTTGAAACGGACTCCTTAACCTGTCTTGTCGTTATTGAAAACTGACTGAAACTGAAATTAGTTTTGACAAAGACGTTTGCGTAGTTGCCTCAGTGTCACTAAATGTTTCTATTATTCTACTAGTCCTTCGCTCGATAAGTGACATCGCTTAGTAAATAGATTGAGGGTTCAAACTCAGATGTTAGGCCAAGTTACCTTTCTGACATTTTAAAGTAACCAGGTCCAAGTGACAAAAGCAATTCTATATTCTTTCCGCTTCGTCCAATATGCATCATCAGGATATTCAGTCGATCTTACCGCAGAGTCATAATTCATCATCGAGTGGAAGACGCACGATGAAAATATTTCTTGGTGCTTTCTACCACACCCACTTCTTCCGTTCCGTTCAAAATCACAGTGCTTTTTCAGACGGACTTTCTCTGAAGACACAGCGTTTGATCGTTGCCACTACTTTGTTAGTTTCGAAAGTAACGCCTTTCCGAGTTAACGAAAAACGTATGCTCCACCGTACATCGTCCTAGCATGCGTTCCCTTAGTTGGGACGGCCTGCTCTCTGCGACCTAAATATCAAGATCGATTTGTTACGATCACGTGTTCGTTTGTTGAGACAATCACTCTGATTCGTTTCCATAGGCATCACGTCATTTGTAAAATTAGTGGAATTTACAGTATTTAAAACATTAAAAACAGCGCTGTAAAAACCGGGTTATTGGATCCTAAAAGGTGAGTTCGTCTCCAAAAGCAGGTTTACCTCATTTCTCCACGTTGCATTTGGCTTCCTGTTCAATGTCTGCCTTGTTCCGGCTCTCATGGGTTGGAGAAATACATGGGTTGGAGTAAGGTGCTTAAGCTCAGCCAAATTGTTCCACAATGCCTCTCTACAATCCTTATCGCCGCATTTACTTCACCATATATACATCGACGCATACTTCGCCTGTTCCCTGCAAGGAATAGAGCCGATTCTCATTCCAACACT